TGAAGGCCAAAATAAAGAAGTTAGGAAGCAAACAAGTGAGAGGACCGCAGTAAGGGCTAGGAGTGTTTGCCTATATGCAGTAAAACACCATACAATTTTACAGAAGATGTGATCAGATTTGTATTTAAGGCAACTCAGATCTGGGTTAAATAGATTTGAGGTCAGCCTAGATTTTGAAAGACAACTTTTTGTGAAATGGTGTATCATCCAAAATAAGGGTAATACTGGAGAAGACAAGGATAGTAGAGGATAGTGTCTGTGCCAGACACCCTATTAAGTACTAGATTCTAGCTGGGAGATGGTGGCTCATGCCTGTAGTCCTAGCTACTGGGGAGAATGAGATAAGGATGATCGAGGTTTGAGGCCAGCCCAGGCAAATAGTTTGTGAGATCCTATCTCAAAAATACTCAACACAAAGAGAGCTAGTGGAGTGGCTCCAGAGGTAGAGCACCTGCCTAGCAAGAGTGAATCCTGAGTTCAAATTCCAGTCCCCTCGCTCACTCAAAAAAGAAGGTACTAGGTTCTAGAGGCTGAGAGTGTAGTACAGTAAGTAGTCTTATGGGTTCAACCCCCAGCACCATCAAAAAAGAAAAGATACTAGAGTCTAGGTGGGAAATATACTAATTAAATAAGTAGCAATGACAAAACATAAAACTAATTGTTCAATGCCACAAAAGGCTACAAGACAGAAACAGAAAAACCTTTACTAATCTTTAAGAAAGGTTTCCATTGAGGAAGAAACACATGAGAAAATTCAGAAGTTTGAGTGGTAGCTAACTAAGAAGCATGGAGGGGAACAGGTGGGAATAATTTTCAAGGGAGGGAGAATAGCCAGTGTGGTGAGATGCTAAGAGTAAAGATGTGTCTGGAGTATGGGCTGGGACTGGGCTGTGCATTTTTTACCTAAGAACCAGGGGACACCAAGACAATGTTTTAAGCAAGGGGGTTGATAATGAAAACATCAAGATCACAGTGGTTATAGTGTGAACAGTGGACTACAGGGGCATAAGGGCTGAGGTGTAGTGAAGTGGGATAAGCTGTGATTGCAAAAATGAGAAGTTGTTGGGAGACAGTGACTATCCAGACTGTGGGATTTCTGCCTTGCTGTTCTTAACCATGCTCCCAGTTTTATGATAAAACCACATCATCTACCAGAGGAAGTTCTTTTCATCTTAGTAGGTCAAGAACAAAATCATCTAAAATTTATATTACACATCAAATTGCTGACAACACTCTCCTTTGGGGAATGGGAGTGGAGAGGGAAGATTGTAGAAAGAAGGCAACATTCACTTTTTACCTTTAACATTTCTGTATTTGATTCCTTTTACAATAAAATTGTAAATACAAAAGCTTTTGATAGGAATCCCATCAAATTATTTATAAATAATAAACAAGGGATTGCCTTGTTTTATGCCATTGAAAATTGGATTCTAAGATCTAAAGAGCCCTCGCCCACCTCTTTGGCTCTTAATTTGCAATAGAAGGCCCAAAGGACTAGAGTGTGGGATCCATTATCTTACCAATGGATATATGAATGGTATCAGGAAAATTCAGTAAATAAGCTGGGCATGGTAGAGCATATCTGTAATCCTAGCACTCAGGAAACTGAGGCAGAATTGTGAGTTTGAGGCTAGCCTAGGCCAACTAGTGAGATGCTGTCAAAAAATTTCAATAAATAGTTCATAAAGTCTTAAATTGCTCTCAATAAATTTCTCAATAACATAAAAGACTAAAATAACATAAAAGACTTAAGACTAACCCATGCTTCTTCAAAGAAGCATAAAACCACAATGACCCAGTAAAAAGCTAGCAATGACTTTGGACAAGACATTCTACAAAGTGATAGCTCTCTAAGGATGAAGGTTGCCTTTTTTCCTAAATAAATACAATGAAGTCCTTATTTAGGAAGCAATGTCTCAAAGAGTTAAACATACAAGAGTAAGTATCCAATTTAAAAAATTATAATTATGGGCAAAAAACCCTGCTCCATGAAGAGGGAATGCCTAGTCAACTATTAAATGTACACTTAACAGAATCTTCTAGATTCAGCCAGCATTAACGCATAACCACATTCAAAAGTGGACTCTGGATTTTTCCCTCCAATCATCCGTTTGCTTTCATTTGCATTATTAAACTGTCTTTGGGTTTCTTTAAACTCTACACTCCTACTTCTGGTATTTGAGATAAACACTACTTAGAACATTGTGTACTTTTCTCCTCAACCCATTTACTGAGTGTAAAAAATATTAAAATGAAAAATCTATGCATTAAAAACAAGATGTGTTTAACTTGTTAACAGTAGAGATAAGGTTCATAAGAAGCATTAATTGCCAACTGTACAAAACACTTTCACACTCATTATCAGCTACCTTTGAGCCACAGATTCTCATTCCTGTGTCACAGATGAGGATCACAAAGTCCTAACAATTTGCCAAAATTTATATAACCTTGTTTTCCGAGTTCTGTGCTCTCCACTCAACCAGTGCCAATAGAACAGGCCACAAAGGAGCAGAACTAGAGTTGTCTTAGATTAGTACACACACACAATGGGGTGCCTTATCACCTGAATGTTTGTGCTCCCTCATAAACTCATGTTGAAATCCTAACCTTTAAGATGATGATGGCATTAGATAAGGCCTGTGGGTAGACCCTTTATAAATGGGATTAGTGCCCTTAAAAAAAAGGCCCCATGTGAGATCACAAAGAAAAGATGGCTGTCCATCTATGAAGCTGACCCTCACAGACATGGAACCTACAGGTACCAGATCTTGGAAGTTCCAACCTACTGCCTACAGATACTTGTTGAGAACCAAGTTTATAAACCACTTCATCTAGAAGGACAGCTGACTCTCCTTGGAACCCACTAGCAAACTAGACAGTCCTCTCTGTGTATCTGATTGCCTTTCAATTTTCTCACTCACATCCTTCATTATCTGCCTTTTTCATGCTACATCAAGACTGAAGCCTCCAGGATGGCACATAAAATCAAAGCCTAGAATCTTAGTTGGGAGTTCCAAAGTTGCAGGAGGAGACATTTGAAAGACCAAGGTTGGGCAAGAGGGGCACCTCTATTCAACCCACTTTCTGTAAGGGAAATTAACTATAATAATGGAAATAAAGTCACAGGTGCCATGTTACACCAATCTGGTCAAATTGATGACTGTAAATTTTCTGAAGTAACAAGTGCTTTATTAATATGATTATGCAAAATCTTACAAAATTCTATGAGATACTATGTTAAAGTTGTAAGTGTGGGTCCCTGAAAGCTTGGGGCCTGTCTGCTACGTTGAACTTTTCATAAAAGCAGGCAAACTCCTACTATGTGAAGCCAATGCAAAGCTGGGATTGTTACTAAGTCTGCTATTCTAATACCACATTATAATCAGTGAGAAAACAGAAACTGAAAAATTTCTTCCAAAACACAATAATCTTTCATTAGTGGCCATAGAGTACTGAATGACACCTTCAAGATGGCATATAAAGAGGATGAGAATATAGGTCAGTGATGTGCTGTGCACCACATGTGGCCAGGTTTGAGATTCCCCAGCATCTCAAAGAAAAGATGGCACTCATCACCCTCCATGACCCAGTCCCACACACTGTGCATTCTAAAAATCTCACTGGCCCTCCTAAATATTTCTAAAGCACTTGGACCTGTTCTTCCTTTCACAGTACTGCTCACAATGTATTATAATTGGATGACTATTCACCTCTTTTACTGGACTGTAAATCTCCATGAAGGCAGCAGTTGTCTTTCTTCTTTGCAGATGATGTATCTTCAATATTTAATACTATTTGTTGGGCATATAAAGGATACTCAGTATTTGCTAAGTGAGTAATGTGCTCCTAAATGTTCATAGGCTCCTGAAAAATCATGAAATTTTACAGCCTGGAAGGGAAAGGCAATTCTCATTTTTTCAAAACAATCTGTTCTTTTTTTTTTTTTGTGGCACTGAGCTTTGAACTCAAGGCCTATACCTTGAGCCACTCTACCAGCCTTTCTTTGTGATGGTTTTTATTGATAGGGTCTCACGAACTATTTGCCTGGGGTGACTTCAAACCAAGATCCTCCTGATCTTTGCCTTCTGAGTAGCTAGGATTACAGGCGTGAGCCATAGAAGCCTGGCTAACAAAATCTCTTCTAAAATAAATTCTTGATCCCTGAATATCCACCCAGTTTCCCTAAAGCTCTGACAATGTTACTGAAATGAAACCAAGAGCCAGGAGTTAAGTAATATCCTTTTGGCCTAGAACTGGTTTCTAAACCAAATCCTTTATGGAGTTTTGCAGCTTTAAAAATTCTTACCTCCTAAGTCAGAATTGAAATTTTTGTCTTAGAAATGTGCAGCAAAATCACTCTAGGTGCTGGGAGCATGGCTCAAGTGGTAGAGCACCTGTCTTACAAGTGCAAAGCCCTGAATTAAATCCCAGTACTACTTCTCATTCCCCAAAAAAGAGGAAAAAAACATTCCCAGGTATTTTAAATGGTGGTAGATTATTTCTGATAGGAAGCAACCTTAGGGGAAGGAAAAAAAAAAAAAAAAGACTGACAGGCACCAAGGTGCACACCTGTAGTCTCAGTTACTCAGGTGGCTAAAGTGAGAGGATCACTTGAGGCCAGACTGGACAACATGGTCTTTAAAAATAACTATCTAAGCCAGGCACCAGTGTCTCTCTCTTGTAATTCTAGCTATTCAGGAGGCAGAGATAAGGAGGACTGCATTCAAAGCCAGCCCAGGGAAATAATTTGTGATTCTCTATCACAAAAGAACCCATCACAAAAAAGGACTGGTGGAATGGTTCCAGGTGTAGACTCTGAGTTCAAACTCTACTACTGCAAAACAAAACAAACACACACACACACACAAAACCCTACCTAAATTGAAAATGCTCCATTTGTGAGAAAGACATTCTCAGAACAGCACAGTATTTTATGCTTTAATGGTAGCCTTTCCATTGAACAAAAAAAAGCATTTTATATTAAATAGCATCATTTAAGGTTGAGTCTTAAATGTTACTTTAATAGTATCCACAAAGAATCTGGTTTGGTTATTAATGGCTTATTTTTATTTTTTTTAAATTTATGATTTACCCATTGTATATAGACAAGGATTTTTTTAAAAAATAGTTTTCTTCTTCACGTGGATGTCTTAAGGTATGAACCATTCTTTGGTTTTATTATATGGGAAAAACAACACACAGTCTAGTCAAACAACTTTGTGATATTTATATTCTATTGCACAGATACGGGTGATACAAATTAGTAATACAAGTTATTTCTTAAATTCCAAACATTTTCTAAAATATGATTGCAGCAAATAACTAGGGTATTAAAACATCCAGGTGGAAATCATACTCTAAATAGTTAAATGCAACACTGAAAATACTGCACATTTTAATTAAAGGAAAATGAAAATGTGAGTTCAAATGCCTAGGTAGCAGGGCAGCTAACAACTACAAATAAGTCACTGTGGTCCATTTTAACATATGCATATATTCTTCAGATAACCCCTCTTCTTGAAAATGCATAATTAAAACATAAAAATCTAGATAAGTGATTTAAAGAAATTTTAATTCTTCCTAATACCTAAGCTCTAAGGTGAAATGTACTATAGTCTATAACTTCGTACATTTATTAATTTGAATATAAAAGACACCACACTTAGAAAGGAGAAAAGATTTTTTTAAAGGTAATGGTTTTAATTGAATTAACAAGATGAAAAGATAGTGAAGCCCTGTTTGCTACTTACATGAAAGATTTTAAAAAATAATCACTGCACAAAATACAAAGGGTGGGGTTATGCTGTGGTATTAAATTTTTCTCCATGTTCTTCTTGACTGTTCAAGAACAAATTGAAGTTTCCACGGCAAATTTGTTTTCAAAATGCCGAATTGTGACACAATTGCTGGCTTCACGTTTCTGAATACCTGTTTGGGAGAGAAAAGTTTTTAAATTTCTGGTTCTTTAGTAATAAATATTCACATTAATCTTTATAGGTATTTTTCTAGATATATATAGAAGTATTTCACTCTATATTCCATGAACTACTAAGGTCTAAATTTGTTCCTGTTGGAAAAAATAATTTTTATATCTCTTCTAAACTAGGCATTTTCACAGATCACAGCAACAAAAACAGTACCTTACAGATTGCTTACAAATTTATGAGCTTGGAAGGTACTGGAAATGTGCATCCTGACTGTGACTGTGTTTGCACAAGTATGTGTGTATTTGTGGAAACTCAGAACTACACACAACAAAGCAAATTTCATTATCTCAGGTTGACTTAAAAAAATTATGAACCAAGATAATTTTTAAATGTAAGAAATCAAGCAGCAGGTTTCATATAAGTCACCAGCCTGAGGTGTGAGAACAGTATTATTAAAAGAGCTAATAAAAAGCCAGGAAAGCACTTTAACTGGGTGACACAATTCCCAAGAAATCATACCACAGTGCATTTGAGGTATGATTAAGGTACTTCTTAACTTTCCACCATTTTGTCACATGTACTTTCATTTTTACAGTAGAAAGCAAATGGGGACATACTGTTATTCTTGTTTTTCAGGTGAGAAAGCAAAAGTTAAGCAATTTGAAAAGCTACAACATCAGTTGGGCCAATGCTCTGAATTCCTCAGCCAAATTCCTTTCTAACTAACCTGACTGTGACTATGCTCAATGTAATCCCAAAGGAAAATCACCTGCTTAGAACCCAGATCTCTGAGAATACAGAGAAGAACTGATCTCAACAGACCTAATGGATGGCAAGACCCCTTTTAGTATGGCTGAGACCCAGTAGAGATGCACAGTCAGACTGGGTAGTTACATGAAAAATAAAAGACTTTCACCCTGATCCTTCCTCTCTATTGGAAAAGTGGATTTACAACTAATATTAATCCATGAAACTGGCACTGCTATACAGTGACAATGTCATTCATTTCTCATTCACAGCATGCATACTGGTAGCCACAACTAGGCTTCACCTAAATGGTTTAACATTGAAATGGCACAATAAACTTTTCTGCCAGTACTTTAACATTAAAAAGTATTACCTTTAATGGTTTCTCTGCGTTGCAGCTTGTAAGTTTCCTTGTCATGACACAGTCGATAAATAAAGAAACCCAGGTGATCAATGTTTTCAATGCGATCGGTAATAACCATGTGCTCATGAATCAGGTATGACTGAGGCAAATAGGTTCCAGCCTACATTTAGAAAACAGTGTTAAATGAACACTTTACAAAAACACAAAATTCTTAAGAGACTGCGATTTTGAACAGCGGCTGACAAATTATTTACTCATCAACTATTTTTATAAATACAATTGGGGATTTTTATTTTTGAGGTAGGGGTCTCACTATGCTGTCTAAGCTGTCTGTGAACTCCTAGGCTCACATGACTCTTCAGCCTCAAACCCAGAGTAGCTAGGACTACAGGTAGGTGCCATTGTGCCTGACTATAAAGACAGTTTTGTTGGAATAGAGCCATGCCCACTTCTTTACATATTGTAAAGTAGCTGGCTAATACTTACTCTCTGGTCCTTTAGAAACTTAAATATAACTTAACAAAATTTACATATACATATGTGATTTTTTTTTTTGTTTTTCTAGACAGGTCTCATAGGTAGCCCAGGCTGGCCTTGTTATCCTCTTGCTTCTGTCTCACAAATGCGGGGGCTATAGGCATTTGCCATGCTGTCTGGCAATAAATTATATTTTAATTTTGAAATATAAAGCATTAAAGGGAAAAAATCTGTAAGTTCTTCTTTGTAAAACTAATTCTTGGCTAAATTCTGGTAAGATGGGCTGAAAAGGGCTAATTTCACAACAGAAAATTCCAAGACACTATAACAGCATCATTAGTCAAGAATATATTAAACATTTTTATACCTTAATGTTAATAAGTAACTCCAGCAGGTTTCTGGGTGGCATAACAATGGAAGTGTTCAGAGGAATCACATAGCACTTGTCCAGGTTAAGATCTAAATAGGCAGTGAGTTTCTGAGAAGAAAAGGTATATATTTTGGTTAGATTAGTATCTCCAACACACATAACAACTGGATTTTTTTTTTTCTGTACTGAAGTTTGAACTCAAGGTCTACACCTTTGAGTCATTCTACCAGCCCTTTTTTGTGATGGGTTTTTTCGAGATAGGGTCTGGTGAACTATTTGCCTGGGCTGGCTTCGAATTGTGATCCCACCTGATCTCTGCATCCTGAATAGCTAGGATTACAGGCATGAGCCACTAGTGCTTGGCACAACTGGATTTTTAAGACTAATTTGTACCACTCAAATGGGCTGGCTTTAGAATCACTTGCATTTCAACAAATTAAGAATTTGGTGGGATAGAAAGTATGGGTGAGGAAAAATTACTGCTAGTAAAAGAAACTCTTACCAGAGGTTTATTTCTACATTAAGAAATTACAATACCTATTAAAATTAACTGCATATACCTACCATCTGATTGATCTCGTTCCCTTACTTTATATACCCAAATCCCACTTCCTAAAGCATCTATCTAACCATTATATGTGAACAATACCTTCTCTCCTATGTATCGAAATACTAGTACCCTCCTTACAGAAAAGCAAGGCAGTCCCTTACACAATTTTGTCTTTTGTGGTTCAGATGAGAAGGTGTAGTACACAAAGACTGTCTCATAGAATAGTTCTGAGGACTGAGATAAACCAAACCATGCAAACACACAGATTTCAAAGAGCTCAGAAAGTGCTGGCTATTATTTAGTGTTTTCTTCAGATGAGGGTGGGTTATAAATAAGTATCAGATGTATTCAAAAGTCATGAAATGTTTGCAAAGCTAACTTTAGTGATAATATGAGTGTTCAAAAGGGCAAACTTATGCAACGCATAAAGCCACAGGCAGTAAGTGAACTTCTACATCTCAGAACCCTGGTTTGAAGAAACAGGAATTTCTTGGGACAAAAGTACTGAGAAAATACAAACTAGATATTAAGGCCAGGCACCCATGGCTCACACCTGTAACTTAGGAGGCTGAAATCAGGAGGCTCGAGGTTCAAGGCCAGCCAGGGCAAATAGTTCACGAACCATCTCCTAAATAACCAGAGAAAAATGGAGTGGAGGTGTGGCTCAAATGGTAGCATGAAGCCCTGAGTTCAAACCCCAGTTCCACAAAAACCAACTAGGTATTAAATAATTCTGTATTATTGTACTAATTTTCTCAGATGTGATGGTGATGTTGTGGGTTATGTAGAACAGCCTCGTTCTTAAGAGAGAAGAGCTTAAGTATTCAGGAGTAAAATGTCAAGCGAGAGAAAAAGAGAGATAAAGTAAATATTGCAAAATATAGGAGGCATGTAAATTTGGGCATTTACTACTGTGCATTACATAAAAACACTGAAAATCTGGGGAAAACGTAGAAGGAGGATTTAGATCAACAAATTATTAATCTCTAAAAATGTTACAAAGAAAGGGACATACACATTATGTTACTTAAGCAGTTGTGGCAGCAGGTAATTTGCTGGCAGGCAAGACACGAAAGAAAGGAGAGCAGGACCTGAGAAGGCCAGGCGACTAGAGGTCTGGTTCAGAAAAAGCACAGCCACCGGATGTTGACAATGTATCTTGGAGGGCACAGAAACCAAAGCCCATTTTCTCTCTTTTTTCTGTTTTTTTTTTTTTTTTGAGACAGGGTCTCACTATATAGGCCAACCTGGCCCGGAACTCTCAATCTTCTAGCTTCAGCCTCTTCTTACAATTCTGGACCAGTGGCTCACCTTGTTGAAGTCATGCACGATGTTAGCAGGATCGCTATCTGCAAATTCTGGGACAGGCACGCTGATGAATTCAACCTCATCTTCTTCAAAGATTTTAATATTTTCTTCAATCGTCTGGTAGCGGGCAGCTGGAGCAGCTGCAGAAGGCTCATTTAAGTTGACGTCATCTTTGATGTACTTTATCCCACAGTAGTACACGTCATCTGGCTATGGACAGTTTAAACATTCACTTCAGCAATTCAGCATGAGAAAGGCTTTTAAATGTAAGCATTACTTAAGCTGCCACTTCTAGCTAAATAGAATTCTGCTTGCAAACTCTTACTTTCAGATGACAAGTCAGACAATTTAATTATAGTTAACACATTCTTTAAGATCAGGTTTTGAAGTATTATTTAAAAAAATGGCTTCAGAAGGAGAAAAGCAGCTGATCTCCCCTTTACTTTGTGTGGTAGATAATAACAGAATATAAAAGCAATCATCTACCTGGTAACAAGCAAATGTGAAGAAACACACAGGCCTACTTCTACTACCCATGGACATTATTTTCCATAAAAGAACATACTCGGAAGCATGCAATGTTTTTTTAAAAGAACATACTTTTTTAAAACTTCTGGTGTAGTTCACTTATTAAATGCTTTTTCCTTTATTAGTCAAAAGAGGGATAATTTTTCTGAAATTACCACATGCATACCAGCAATTCTAATTTTTCCTTGAACTATATCACAATTAAGTGAACCATATTATATTACTACAAATCTTTAGAACATGGTCTTATTTTTCCATACAGAAGAGTACATATATATGTGTATATATATGCAGTATAGCCTGGGAGTATATAACAATGTGCTGGCACGAAATCCTATCTGTGGACAATGGAAGTGAAAATAATTTTTTTCTGTATCACATGTATTTCTTGTAAAAAAAAAATATTAGAAACAAGGGCTGGAGGCATGGCTCAAGTGGTAGAGCACCTGCCTAGTAAGCTCATGGCCATGAGTTCAAACCCCAGTATTGCAAAATATGTATACACACACACACACACACACACACACACACACACATATTTAAGAAGACGTATCTTTTCCTAGTATTTCAGTAGTGTTTATCAATATGCCATCATCTTGAACAACACAGAAAATAAGTGTGAAATTTACATACCCTCTTGGCAGAATAGTTCAAAATTAGTTACTTGAATTTTTAAATAAATCTAAAGAAAGAGTTGGGTGACTTCTGCACTGATATTGAAATAACTTCACTTAGGGTCATAGTTGCCATGGTCAAAACAATGAACAGTTGTCAACTGTTTCACCAAAGTTTAAAAATGTTAAAACATTTGAATTGTTCATAAAAGCATTAAAGCAAATTCCCCGTCAAGGTTCCTTACATGAGGATGGGGCATGGTAGTTCATGTTTATAATCCCAGCTACTACAAAGACGGATTGGGAAAGGCATGGTTTGAAGCCAGTCTGGGCAAAAGAAAGTTAGCAAGATCCAATCTCAACAAACAAACTGGGCATGCAGTGTACAGCTGTAATCCTAGCTACACAGGAAGCACAGTTGGGAGGACTGAGCTGGCCATGGCTAAAAATGTGAGTCCCTCTCCAAAAAAAAAAAAAAAAAAACCACAGCAAAAATGGGGTAGACGCATGGCTCAAATGGTAAAGTGCCTGCCTGGCAAGTGCAAGGCTGAGTTCAACCCAGTACTGCCAAAAAAGAAAAATGAGGGAAGGGGGGAAAAAAAAAACCCAAAAACCCAACCTACTGAATTATCACCAAGAAAAACAAATCACAAAACGGAGATTATACATCATAATTAAGTGGAACAAAAATCTATGTGTTACCCTGCTGGGATGACTATTAAACACTGAGCTAAAAGCAACTATGACCCTAAGTGAAGTTATTTCAGTGTCAGTGCAGAAGTCACCCAACTCTTTCTTTAGACCAGTGACTAGAAGAGGCCAAGATCAAAAGGCTACTATGTGGGTGGCCCAAACTGACTACCACGTGATCAGCATGACAACACTGTGGCTAATGTATTTATTTAATCAGCAATTCATAATACTATACCTCCTAGCTATTAGCCATGATAGGACAATGAATGTGAGTCAACTTTGAAAAACCACCCAAAATCTTAAATCTCAAAACACTATTATTCTACTTGTCATGACTATATGTCTAATGAGTATGACAAACACATGATCAGGAGATTTTAGACAGAAAGTACAAGCTTAGGACAACTTAGGGACAGTTTTCTAGTATATAAGATGAAAAAGCAAAAAAAAAAAAAAAAGACAAAAAGTATCATTTCTACTTACTTGAAGTGCAAAATATTTGTATAGGTATGCTCCTCCAAGAATGACTCCAGCAAGCATGAATGCTAGTCCAAAGCACATGCACCAACACCAGGCTCTTCTCTGTCCCACTGGCACCACATCATCTGGATCCTAAAGGATGAAAAAGATGTCACTCAATATCTGTCTTCAAGCAGAATCACAGAAAGACTGGAAAAACTTCAAGGATTATCATTTTAATAAATGAAGACACAAAGATGAAAGGCATTAGGCCCCTAATCAAAATCAACCTAGGAATCATTAATTGGCGGGGCCAGGACACTTCCTTCGGCTGGGGAATGTGGGTCTCTAGGAAGAATTCTGCCTCCCCCACCAGCTATTAACCATTTCTCCTGTAATGATAGACTCCATTAATTTCTATTTTCCATGCACAACTTGACAATATCTTCTTCTAACACATATAATTCAGAAAAGGTTACAATGCAACTTTTCTATGCAATATTATGATGTTGAACCTTGTATATTACAGATCCAGGTCTCTTTGTCAGGTCATTTATAAAATTGTTAGCTTCCAATTTATAAAACTGTTGTTTATATTTCATGCCAGGTATAAAACCACCCCTAAGTATCACAAGAAAAACTAACATGAAAATAGGAAATGAAAGAACAAATAGTATGATACAAAAATATTTTAAACAATTAATAATTTTTTTTTGGTGGCACTGGGGTTTGAACTCAGGACCTCACACTTGCCAAGTAGGTGCTCTACCACTTGAGTCACTCCACCAGTCTACTTTAAACAATTATAATCTAAAAAAACTAAAATCCGATATGGAATACATTAAGGGAGAAAATATATTTACCTTAAGTGTATACAATAGTATACAAATAAAGTTAAATAGAAAAACTGTATGAACCATGCACAAAAACAGGGTGGGTCTATTAGACCAAGAAAACAAATCTAAGGTTATATATTTTCTTCTTTTTGGGGAGAAAGAGGGGCAGCAGTGGGAATTGAACTCAGGGCCTTATGCTTGTTAGGCCAGTGTTCTACCACTTGAGCTCATGTTCAGTTCTTTTGCTTTTGATTTGTCTTTCAGGTAAGGTAGCCTTGGACTACAATCTTCCTATCTCTGCCTCCCAAATAGCTGGGACCACAGGTGTGTATCACCATGCCTGGCTTGTTTTTCAGATAGGGTCTTGCTAGCTTTCGCCTGAGCTGGCTTTGAACCATGATCCTCCTATCTCTACCTCTTGAGCAGCTGGGATTATAGGTGTGTACCAACACACCCTGCTATATTTTCAATTCTAAGATAAGAGATATGATTGCAAAAAGTCTAATGCCAGATGTATTAGAACCAAAAACAATATAAGGCTAGATAAGAGTGCTCCTAGGTTGAGGCTCCACTTTTAAACATAGAATTTGTGAACAACAAATTCTACTTAATCTAAGGATCAGATTAAATATTGCGACAGTATTACATTTTATGGTAGTACCTGTCAATATACTGTGTGTGTATACTTAAGGCAACAAGGGCACTGCTAGGAAGTAGTATGTAATGAGAGTAAGCCTAGAACAATCTATCAAACTATGTAAGACATCCCATTTGTAAAAAGTTGTAAGAATCTCATGACATCATACAGTATTAGGAAACCCGAACAATAAAATAAACACACTGTCTGACGAAAATTTATAAGGAGGTAAGAAATTGTTCCTAACATAACCAATTTCAGGGTGGAGGCAGGAGCGGGGGATGAAATGACAGATGGAAACAGTCACTCCCAGCTGCTGAGACAGCCAAATGTGTGCACACACCCACTCTATCTGGCAGGCTCTCTGTCCTAATGGTACAGAGTAAATAGCCAAAGACAACAGGAAGATAGCTACAATGGAACACACAGCCTCAACTGTAATACTGACGGTAAGTTTTCAGGCTTTTTGATTTGTATTTTAACTTCAACAATGATTTTGAGAAAAAATGATGTCTACTGTGTACCAAAAGTTGTGCTAGACTCTGGGAATACAGCCTTTGGTGAGAAAAATATAGGCTACATCAGTCTGGATAATAGATAAATATAAAAGAGAACAAAAACATGATAGGAACTTTAACAGGAAAATACATGGCGAGCACCTAAGAGGGGATGGCTTTGGGAAAGAAGACTTCCCAGAGCAGAAAATATTTGAGTGGAATGTGAAAAAATAAACACTCAGTACCTAGGCAGAGTATAGAGTTAAAGAAATTATGTGTAGGGCAAAGAACCAACAAAATCAGAGCCTGGATGCATGACACTGCCAAGGGTCGTATGGGGTACTGCAAGAGGCCCAAGATGGTGGGGAGAGTTGTAACAGAAGAAAAGTAATTCTCATGTTATTTAAAAATCATGTGGCAAGACTATTACAATAAAAAAACATTAATTTCTTGAAGAATTTAACCTATGAAACATCCACTGTTCATTTATTCAGTACCTCATGTGAAACATGGGTTTAGAATAAGGAAAAAAATAAGAGTCACCGAACAGCTAAATTATGACCCCAAGTCCACACACCAGTCAGGAACTTCATAAAAGCTACCAATCTTTTTTCCCCTCCAGATTACTAGTGATCACTTTCTACTTTGCATTACAATAATTCACATATAGATCTTACCTTTTACTACTACACTATAAGGTTCTTGTGAGTTTCCATTCCTACTTATTTTACATTACTGCTAACTCTAAGCCAAGGTTGAGACTTAACTAGTATATAAATATTTACAGTGACTGAAACTTAGATATTAAGAAAAAAAGTGTAGGTATTTAATCTTTTCTGATTCACAAAAATTACATCAGTGGCCAGTAGGAAAAGGAGAGGGAGCAACATAATTCATGACCACAAGAAACTGGTTTGTTGAAACTAGTAGCCCAGTTAGCACAGGTCAACACCTACAAAGGGCCTGGTGTGTGCTGGATCCTACGGGAAACTCAATGTGGTCAAGACATGGTTCATGCCATGAACAATTTATGGTCAAGAATTAACACTACATGATGGATAAATAATGTCCCATTATACAATCTGAGTTATGGAGAAGGATTTATTAAAGTGCATTCAAGATTTAAAAAGTTTTATATTAAAAGTGTTTTAAGATGATTAAATTTTAACATAGTAAAGAGTAAGCTTTACTTGAAGCCTCCTGACAATCTTAAAAAGAAAATGTAGGTGAAAAAAATTCAACTTCCATTCATTATAAAATTCTTTGGAGTTAGGAAGCAGTGAAATTCTTTAACATTAATAAAGCTAACGAGCAAAAACTTACAGCAAGCCTCATAAGTACTGGTGAAACTTTAGATTTGCATGATATCCTTTCAAGTGGAATACAGATGCCCATTAAAATCGATTCTTTGGAGGATTGCAGTTCAAGGCCAGCCCAGGCAAATAGTTCTCAAGACCCCATCTCCAAAAAAACCACAAGAAAGTGGACTAGAGGTATGGCTCAAGCAGTAGAGCATCTGCTTTGCAAGTGCAAAGTGTTGAGTTCAAATCCTAGTCTCACCAAAAATATAAAATAAAAATAAAATTGATTCTTTGTTTCTGCTCAACATTGTACTAGAGACCCTAGCCAGAAAAAAAAGTCGCAAGTACAGGAAAAGGTACAGGATTAGAAAAAATAACACTGTCAATATTTGTAAATGATCTATGTAGAAAATCTAATAAAGTCAAATTATTCAAACTAGTAAGAGTTCAGCAAGACTACTAAAGATCAATTAACAAAAATCAACTGAGTCAAAGATTTGTATTTGAGTAGTCATGGCATCATTATTCATAATAGCTCCAAACTAAAAATAACCCAAATATCCATCACCTGATAAATTGTGGTATGTTCATACTATGAAACAGATAGTAGTAAAAAGGACCAAACATAACACACTTCAGCATAGCTGAATCTCAAAAACATGCTAAGTGAAAGAAATCCAACACAAAAGACTATGTACAGTTCCATTATGAAAATTCTAGAAAAGGCAAAACAATGGTGACAAAAAGTAGTTCAGTGGCCACAGTACTGTCATGGCTAAGGGTTGTGAAGGGGGAGACTGACTACAAAGAAGCATAAAGAAACTTTTTAGAGCAACAGAAAAGTTTCACATCTTTTTTTTATTTTTATTTAAGCAGGGTCTCACTGCATATCCAAGGCTGGCTGGGAACTCACTAAGTAGGCCTAGCTGGCCTCTAACCCTGCCTCAACCTCCAAAGTGCTGGTATTACAGGTGTGCATTACCATACCTGCCTTGCAAATGTTTCTTATCTTGACCATTTCAGTGGGTATACAACCTTTTGTCCCAATTATACACATAAAATGGGTGAGTGCTACTGCATGTAAATTACATTTTAACATGGAGGATGAGAAAGAAATCAACTAGATTTCTATACACCAGACCATAAAATAAAGCCTACAATGCCATAAATGCTGGGGAAAGCACTGAACAAAGAGAACTGGGAACTTTCACACAGTTGACTGGAGTTGGTGTAAGTACTTTGGAGAAACTAATAAAATTAAAGACACAGAGGTCTTATGACCCAGCAATTCCAATCCTGGGCATGTAACTCTTGATAAACTTTTCAAGTATGTGTAAAGAAGTATGCCCAATGTTTGATAGTTTTCAATAACAAAAACATTGAAAACAATCTAAATGCTCATGAGAAGAGATTATAGAATTATCTAATATACTGCTAAAAAGAATCAACTAGCACTGCTGATTTTTAGATAAATCTAAAAACACATAATGATGAAGTAAAAAAAGGCAAGTTGTACTATGCAACTTATGTATTTAAGTGTATGTATGATATTTAGACTTCAAACAAAACATACTATAGATTACATTTTTGTATGCCTGGAATATTTCATAATTAAAAAAGAAAAATCACTAAGAAGTAGGTGATTCTTCTGAGGAATATAAACTTTACCTGGCCTATTTTAAAAGAAGACAATGAGACATTTCCTCCCTTTGTACTGCAATAAAACTGGTACACCTTAAACTGTGCTTATAAGGTGACAGAACTCCCACAGGTACTGTACAATTATCATCTCATTAATCTTTGTGAAACCTCAAGATTTTAGCCCAGTTTATAAAAGAAGACACTGAAGCACACACTGGCCTATAATCACCCTTTAACAGTA